TGGAGGAGTAGTGGTAACATAACCCCCCTCCCCCCCGGTCGTTAGATATGTCCATATCAGTAGCAGAAGGCCCAGTATCAGGAGAAACATGAGGCAAAGAGACAACCTGAAGAAACTTCACATCACGTGAGACAAAGAAAATCTAACTTTCCAAATCATACAAACTCCACCCTTTTTTTTCCAAAAGGGTAACCAACAAACAGACAACGACGACTCCGAGCAGCAAACTTGTCACCGTTACGATCTTGGTTATGAGCATAGCAAAGGCAACCAAAAACCCGCAAACGAGACAATGAAGGAGCCGAACCATAAAGAAACTCATATGGTGTTTTACCATGTAAGACCGACGAAGGAGTCCTATTTATCATATAAACCGTAGTCAAAACACAATGACCTCAAAAAGGAAGAGGTAGATGAGCCTGGAAATGCAAAGCACGAGCTACATTGAGAATATGTTGATGTTTACGTTCCACATGCCCATTCTGTTGAGGGGTGCCTACGCAAGAAGTCTCTTGTAAAATCCCTTGACGACGAAAATAAGAGGCCAAGCATATGAACTTGTTTCCATTATCACTACGAACGACACGCACCGATTTATCAAATTGTCGCTTAATCATAGAAAAGAAATTCAGCAATGTGGAAGCAACCTCCGTCTTATCATTCAATAAATAAACCCATGTTCCACGAGAATAATCATCCACAATAGTCAAAAAATACCGTGCACCACAGAAAGATGGAACACGATACGGACCCCACAAATCACAATGAATCAAATGAAAAGTCTCATAACTAACAGCCTGAGAGAGGAAAACTACGACGATGTTGTTTAGCCGAAAACAAGCATCACACGATTTATGCAAATTACGAGAACTAGAGTCAATAATAGGCACCTGGGATAGTACTTTAGCAGACGGATGACCCAAACGTTGATACACATCGGCAGAAACTTTTCGAACACAAGAAACTGCCGTAGAAACCGTCCCTCGAAAGAAGTAGAGACCCCCCAACTGCTCACCCGTGCCAATCACCTTCCGCGAAGTGCGGTCCTGAATAACACAAAATTTGCTAGTAAGCTGAGCAGTGCAGTCGGAACGATTCAACAACTGATATAGTGAAATTAAGCTTCACCGAAGGCTTGGAACATATAAAATATCAGAAAGAGTGATATGAGATCCCAAATAAACAGTCTCAGCGTTGCTAGCTATAGTTAAGGAACTATTAGACAATTGAACAGGATGGGCAGGAATATCTCGAACATCATAAATAAACTCTGGGAATCTTGTCATATGATGAGTATGATGAGTTGCCCCACAGTCGTACATCCAATCAAATAAACCACCCGTACTAGACAATGGAATATTTTGTTTAGCAAATTTAACCAAAGACACAAAGTTAGACCGAGTGCAAAACGATCAGAATCACTCAAAACTGCACTAGCAGTAGAAGAACCAACATAACCGGCAACAAACAAATCACCAATACCACTGGAAAACGCCGCATTCGCACGAGCACCACTCTTGCCGCGAGCTCCACCACGGCGGCCACCACTGGAACTGAACCATTTCGGATATCCAATAATCTCAAAGCAAGTAGTGGCAAGATGACCCATTCGACCACAATGAGAACACTTGGGACGGCCCCACCAATACCGGAATTAGAAGAAGCAGCCATGAAAAAGCAATATCTGAAGCCGCAACGATAGTGGACGGAGGCCGGACGTGGATGGCTGCCTGAAGTCAACACACAATTACACCCGCACAACAATTCACACCCGCACCACAATTGATTTGTTTTTTTTTTCGTCACAATCAAGCGGGGCGGCAGATTATTTGAGCAATTGATTTGTGGATCATCAAAATTATTTGAGCAACAGCATCATTTAACCAAACTCCCCTTTTTAAGATTCCAATCAAGCAACAACCATTAAATAATTAAGTAGGAACCTTAAAATCACTTCAGCAACAACCTTCAATACATTAATTGACAGAACATGGCTCAATTAAGTTAATTGACGGAAGATTAACCTATAGCGGGACACAGTCGAACGAAAAGAAAAAGAAAAAAAAAAATAGCTTGATCTTGAAGATTCAATCAGATTAGACAGAAAAATAACCTTCTTTGATTCCATCATACGAGAGAGAGTGAGAGACGACACAAAGTTTAGGAATATATACACAAAATTAGGGCTACATATAACTTAAGGATAATACGGTAAATACACCAATATACACAATAACATGTTGCGCTGAATATAGAGATAAACTGTTCATCCAAGGCTACATTTTTTTCTTTTCCTTTTTTATATTTTATGTTTATTTTGTTAATACCTTTACCATTTAAATGTGTTTCTACTTTAATTTTTTCACTAATTGTACATGATTAAGGCTTTAGAAATATATGATTGTTGGTATAATTAGTATTGTATTTAAATATATTTTTATTAATCATATACGTGCAAATAATTATATATGTATAAACTCATGTCTAGTTTATTAATAATATAAATATAATAAATAATTATAGATGTATTTTAAATTTTATTTTATAAATTTTAATCGTACCATAAGAATAAAAATTTACCACAATAAAATAAGAAGATTTCATGAAAATCAAAAGTTAAAACACACATAAACATATTTTTTATTTTTTGGGGAACAAAAAATTTATATAAGATTAAATATACATATTTAATAGAAGTTATTTCAAATAAAATTGAATAAAAAATAATAAAATATATGTAGAGTAAAATGTAGCGCGAACAATTGGAGATATTTGGCTAATTCTACTCTAGAATAGAGTAAACTCTATCCTATAGTATAGTAAAAGGCTGGAGATGGTCAGGATACATTTTCCATCTCTATTAGTACGTGGACGTACAAATAACTTCTAATGGAATGTATAACTATATTATAATGCAATTAGATTTTACAATTTTATTGTAATATAATTAGTTATACAAGAGTGAAAAATGAAGTATACAAATTATTTCCTACCGGAATGATTCAGAACTTTAAAAGTGTTTCATCTTGATACGCAAATTGCATTCGAACTATATTTAGTTCGGTACAACTATGAAATGCTTCTCGTCTTTGAGGTTCGACGACCTGCAAAACATGTTGGAGAAGTGTTTCAGTGGAAAACTTCTAACGCTCAGCCAGATCTCGGACTGAGCTCGCTCGTGAAGATATAACCTGTTTTATATGGAGGTTCTATATTAAGACATAATATATGTGCTAAGTCAACATATAGTCTGTTGTATTTGGAGATTATATTAGACGTTCCAATCGTGCGATCAACTCGACTTCCTTTGAACCAAGTTTTTCGACCTTCAGCGTATGAGCTTTGTCTCTTAGGTCACGCCATCGACCTCCCTGGTCAAGTTATTTTTATTAGATGTTTTGTTGGTATGGTCTCTTTCTTGCGTCCATTCTCTCCCTTCCCCAAATCATCTTTCATTGTCCCCAAATCCTTATATCCGGGATGGGGCGCACTTCGAATGATTAGATAAACATCTAATAGTTTAATCACCTCGGTAACCGCCGTCAACACCTAGAGAACATCCGAGAAAAAGCCTCCTCAATTTTTTTTCCAGACAACCTCTTTGATCATCGTCTCGTCAAATCCGGTAGACAATCTAGTTGCTCTTTTAGATGCAACTGGATGTGGTCTCTCCGGCGGAACATGCGCTCTATTTTTTTGAGGCGGAGATGTTTATCTTCTTCATAAATATCTTCGTCAACATAATGTGCCTTCTTTGAGGGTCAACACATCATCTTCAACCCCCGTCTATGCATTTTGGCCAAAAAAAAAAAATTCACCGACAATGCTTGACAATTGCTTACCCACGGATCACGGTGAATCTATTGAACGTTTGATGATAAATCCATGTTGATGTCTGCCATATAAGAGGTGTTCCGCTCCTCTGCTGTCAAGTAAATATGAAATCTAGTAAAAAAAACTAATGAATAAATAAATAGTCAATCTACAAATCTAGCTAGAAGACAATGTTCAAAACTAAACATGCAGCTTAACAAGAAAATGATTTATAATGAAACTAAGAATTACCTCAGCATTATCGAGTCCATTGACACGATTGAATGACACCTTTCCACATGTCCATTGTGCGCCCTTATGAAGGTTGTCACCCATCCGTGATATTCCAGAATCCTTTAAAATTTCGTGAAATAATTCACAAACCCAAATCTGTGTAGAAGATATAAAATAAACAAAGTTAATAATGAAATTGTGTCATTACAAGAATATGAAAAAATGATAAAAAAATAACATTTACCTAGAGTGACATCAGATACCCGTAGATATTGAACTGCACGCCACCCCCACCAACCGAAAATTTAGCCCAATTTTCAAGATAGTGGTGAAGACGCTGAAAAGCGTATGAACCCCAGAGAAATTTCTCGAATTCCGTTGTGTCTTCAACCACAATGTCATTGTCATCCTGGGAGATCCATGGACAGAAAGAAGAAGAAGACTACAAAGCCACTTTGAGGGGTGTGTGACGTGTGTCAATTAGTCAGTTTAAGTGGATTTTGGTGTTTTCCCGATGAATATGCAATTTTTTTTTTTTCATGGTCGATGAAGATGAAGATGAAGAACGGATTGAAAATGAAAATGAATTTGAAATGAGGGGAATTATGTGATGTGAATATCGAATTGGGGGAAAGAAAAATAGTGTAAAAGGTAAAATTGAGTTAGGGGTATTTTAGTATTATCACATGCCAAAATGACTAAAAAAGATGTTTTATAAAACATGTCCAAAATTTGTGTTTTGTATATTTTATGGCCATTTAGTAACACCCCATAAATAAAAGTAAAATGAAATTTATAAATGGAAAAGCCTTGTTGCGCGTGTATAACTAAACATAGTTAAAGAGAGAATATGTGAGAGGATTAAATTCCTTTGTTAATGGCAGAGTCGCCTTATTAATGCATAGGAGGATTATTGGAGGATTATTGCAACTAGCAGTTGTTGCAGTACTAAATTAGGTCCAACTGATAGCAATTGGACTCCGGACGACATGATTATTCCAATCGCACCACTTAATTTCACCAAATTTGTGTGTGTCCGGCGGCATTGGTCCGGTTATCTCGAACGTCACCGTATAAGACCTCATCTCGTTTCTTTTATGGAAAGTCAACCTATTAGGGACAACGGAAATCTTGACTGAGTTGCTTGGTGAGGAGATGGAGACCATGTATGTGGACCAGCGTGATCCGACGTTGGTAACCACTCTCTTGTGTGTAACCACTCTTGTGGTGTTGATATCAGCTGGCACTTGAACGGCGAAAGAGGGGTAGTTCAAGTCAGTCGTGTTGTATGCATTCTTGGGGTCACATGTGAAATTTTGTTGTGTGATGATCTGGATCTGCTGGGGCGTGTAGTTGAGCGCACAAAGGAAATTTAGATAGTCGTCGGGGGTAATATTGTACACCAGGCCCGGGTCGAGGGCGAGTATGGGGTTAACATGCCCTGCTCCATAATCGAATGGCGTGGAAATTTTACCTCTGGATGCGTCTATCATGTGGTTACCTCTCTTGTCGGTCGTGTAGGCTGTGGTCATGAGGGCCGATCGGATGGCTGCAGGACTCCAGTCTGGATGGGACGCCTTGAGCAGAGCCGCCAGGCCGCTGACATGGGGGCACGACATTGATGTCCCTGTTTGTATGTTGAAATCAACCCTGCGTGTGTCGATGCTCAGCTCCGTGGGGCTCATTGCCCTCGACCACGCGGCTAGAATGTTGACACCTGGCGCTATCAGGTCCGGTTTCAACACTTGGGGGCAGAATGAGCTAGGTCCCCTCGAGCTGAAATTTGCGACCACTGGCGATGGCTCGACCCCAAACCTTGTCCTTCCTAACAGAATCATGGCCGTCGGGTTGTGATTCGTGGACAGATATTTCCTCATCTCGTCGCCCGCCTTTTGGCCGACATCCACAGCTGGAAGCAAGTGAGCATCCAATATCAGCTCCTCACCCTCGACATTGGTATTGGCCAGAACCATGCCAGCTCCACCGGCTTTCTTCACCACCGCGCCCTTCTCAACTCTATTATTAATCCCTCTGTCGCACAACACAATCTTACCCCTTGCGAGTTTCGGGTTGAGAGTGTCTTCTAGACAGAAGCGTCCGCCTCCGCCACTGCCATTTTTGCTTGCTTGCCCAGCATACACAATGGGCATTAATTTATAGGGCATCAGAGGACCTCGATAGAGAGATGTGCCGGTGTAAGTTTTTCCATTCCCGAGCTTAACGTAGGAAGGGAAGTCTCGATCTATGGTCCCAGCACCAACGCTGGTTACCCACGGGAACGTGTTCTCCGCACTAAAAGGGGTGGGCCCCGAGTTTCCACCGGAGCATGAGACGAAGATACCATTGGCTGTGGCGGTGAATGTACTGATGGCAATGCTGTCTGTGTAAAAGGGAATCGGTGCAAACCCCAAAGAGATGGACAACATGTCGACTCCATCTTTAATGGCAGCATCGAAGGCCCCATATACATCGGAGTTGTAACATCCACCGACCCAGCAAACCTTGTATATGGCAACCCTTGCCCGCGGTGCCATCCCGCGCGCCATCCCGTTGGCATACCCGAGCAGGTTTGCACCGGGGACAGCGGATCCAGCCGCAATGGATGCCGTGTGGGTCCCGTGGCCTAGGTTGTCCCGTGCCGATCTGTACTCTGTGGTCCAGTTAACAGGGGGATCGGCATTGTGTTCGTAGCCATTCAAGAAGTACCTGGCCCCGATCAATTTCTTGTTGCACATAGATTCATCGAAGTGGGACCCAGTCTGACATTCTCCTAGCCAGGACGCGGGTATGGGCCCATATCCCGCGTCGTTGAAACTCTGGCTCTCTGGCCAGACACCGGTGTCGATGACCCCGATGACGATGCTCTGTTGTCGAGAGTCAGGTAGAATGTACCGGTACTTGTAGTCGTAGTCCAGCCTGTCCAGGCCCAGAAATGTGGGGGTCCGGGTTGTGGAGAGCTCCAGCCTCGAGTCGGGCTGGACGGAAAGAACCCCGGCCCGGGACGCCATTAATCGGGCCTCCTCGTCTGTGAGGCTGCCTGCAAATCCATGTATCACTTGGTCGTAAGCGTAGAGCATCTTGTCCGAGCCCGACACCGACTTGAGCGTGGAGGCGTACCAATGCGTGTGGTGATTGAATTCCGCTGGCATTTTGGATTTGGACATGTGGACGATGTAAGTCTTCTTGGCCGCCATGGATACGTGGAATATAGCTACAAGCAGTAATATTCCGACCGTTACAGTTGTCGGAATTTTCATTTGTTCCCTTTTTTTTTTTCAAATTTTAAGGCGAGATTTTTTTTTGGGGGGGGGGGGAAAGTTTATGCGAGATATTGATGATAATGAAAATCTTGTAAAGCTGTGAAAGATGGCGAGTTGGATTGTGTACGTATATATAGATATAGATGGTTCACCTTTGTGCGTATAAAGAGCTGATTATAATAAACCCAATAGTGTGCTGCATTATTCAAGAAAGTTCCTAGCAAACTTGCAAAAACTGGGTCTCTTCCAGTTTAACCAGTGGTCTCGTGTTCGAGCCCTGGGAATGCAGCAGTGTTAAAACTCTTGAGGGAGAACTTTGCTGCCCTTGTGGTCCTACCCGGCTCGATTCCGGATTAGTCGGTTCCAATGTAGATCCGGAAACCGGAAAGTCCCAGTACCAAAAAATAAAAAAAAAAAAGAATGTAGATTACGAATAATTAGTCCTAACGTCATCTTTAATCTTCTTGGGGTACGTTGTGAAGAAGTTTACTTGGTACGAAATCATCACCACGTTATGTGTAATTTCTTTGATGAGAGTCTCAATTTTACGTTTAATTAAGTTTTCTTGATAACGGAATCACTTCTAGAGGTTTAAGGATATATGTTTGTTGTTCTTTGATGAGAATCTCAGTTTTACGTTTAATTAAGTTTTCTTGATAACGGAATCACTTCTAAAGGTTTAAGAATATGTTTGTTATCTCTATTAGTCACTTGTACTAAAAATCGGACTAGGCGCTAGGGCACTCGAGCGTTACGATTTTTGTCTAGGCGACCCTTCTAAGCGCTCGGAAAATTGGGTGCCGCTTAGGTGATCTAGGCAATTGCGAATAGGCGGTCTAGGAGGTGCCACCTAGATGCCCGTATATTATATATATTATGCCCGTATATTTTGCAAAATACATTAAAAAGAAATTTTGATTTTTATGCATGGAATGTACAAAAATTATAAAATAAAAAAACAACAATTATATTAAATTAAATGTCCTAGTCAAAAAAAAAAATAACGTAAGATGCTTTATGATGCATGGGCGATGGATTTGTCGTTGGAATATGACACAAGTTTATTGTTCGCTGAATATTTGTGTATTTTGATAGTGGTAACTAAAATACACAAATATTCAACGAACAATACACTTGTTTCAGAACTCTTATATTAAACACGAACACAACGAACGTAAAATGCTTTATGCATGGGCGGACCAACATATAGGCCCGTTGGGGCGTGGATGTGAGAAACTTTTGATATATATATATATTTACAGTAATGCTCCCTTATCTACGGTGGGCACATGTTAATATGTCCACCGTTTATGTGGCATGCACACATTGGTGATGTATTTTTTTAAACATATTAGTATTACCAATGTGTGCATGCCACATAAGCACATATTAACATGTGTCCAACATGATAGAAAAACATTATCTTATATATATATATTCTTAATTATGTTAAAGTTAGCCCCAACAAAGATAATAAGTCATAAAGAAAATTTATTAAAAAAGTCATAAGGAAAAACAACTTTTTTGTGGGTCCTACAAGCCAAGTCTGCATCCGCCCAGCTTTATGCAATTTGTGAGTAATAAGTAAAATCTATGTTTTGAATGATTTTATTTCATTGGTATTTATAGAAGTTCTTGGACATAACCAAGGTTCATGACATAAAAAAAGTGCCTTTCAGAATGTGCTTTGGTCATACAAAACTGAGTAGAAACAATTTCAACACGAGCACGGTAGGTGTGTTTGGGTTGCATGCTCATCGCACCCAAGTGGTGGACGGACAGAGGCGTAGTAGCTACTTGGCATGGTGCGCAGCTATGCGCTGAAAACTCATACGTGCTCGTAGGAAGTAGTGTTAAAATAATTAAGTTTCATTAATTAATGTGGTATCATTATTATATTAAATAAT